GACGCGCCGCCACTGACAGTGGCGGCGCGTGGTCATTTTGACAACCTGGGCAAGCTACTGCGGGACCAAGTCACCCCCATCTACGGGGACAGGATGAGCGCTGTAAGTTCTCCCATCATTTTATGAGTATAAAAACCATTCCATCGGTAACAACCAATCGGCAAAAGCGACAATTTTTAACGATAAGAAAGTGTCTTTAAAACCGGTCCAAGTCAAGGGATTAATAAATATAGACATAGTTTATTTTGAAACCTCTTTCAAAAGGAAAGGCAATATTTACCCAGATAAATACAATGACATATTAACAGAAACTTCGGGAAAGCCGACAAAACCTAAAATAAGGTTTAAAACGTTACTATGAAGAAAGGAAAGTAATGCAAAGATAAGGACATGCGTCGCTCACTCATAGATATATATGCTGCTAGACTTCTACTGCTTGAACATATATGCAACACGCCGCGGTTTCTTGGAAGCAAAATGCTCAATAACGCGCTGATTAAAGTCATGCATCCCAGAAATAACGTCTCTGTGAATGGATAAAACAGCCAAGGAATTTAATCTATCTTGCTTCATTGTGTTTCTGAGATACGTTTTAATACGCTTCAGCGTGCTGAATGTTCGCTCTGCGTCGGCGGAAGAAATAGGCGTCGTCAAAATGATGTCCAGAAATTTTGCAGACGCCGCAAAGGTAGTTACTAGAGTCTATGAGGAACCCATAGAGCGCGCAAGTTGATGTGATGTATAAAAAAGTTTGATTGGTGTATATACATCGCAATTCATTTTCAAATTTCCCCACGTTTATCATGGGGTAAAATTTGGAGACAGTAGCCATAAATCGATGGGAAATTGACGTGCAAATTTGAAAAAATTTTTGGGGTTCATCAACGAGAACGCGGTAAGGTGTTCAGTGCGCAGACGATCGCCTATTTGATTCACCAGAATGTCACAGCATTCCTTTGCAGACAAAATCAAACGCTGCGTTGTTTGCCCGTGGCGTAAAGAAGCACTCCATGTGTCGTCGTATTTTATTGTTTCCCGGATACGAGATACAGCATCGCAGAAGTCTGAAATACACGACTGCACAGACGCTCCATCCATTAGCCTTGACTGCAATGCGCCGTATAATACATCCACGTGATAGAATATTGTGGAGAAAAAAGCGAGAAAAAAATGAAAACTCACCATCTTCTAGCAGACGCTTTAGACCTACCGCCTCCCTCACAGAGCGTTCGTCCCAAACCGGAGAGCTCTGATTGCCATTGAAACACTCAATGAGCTCAGACCTAATTTCGGACACGCCCTGCACCACGCGTGATTGGAAGTTCCAACGTGTTGGTGCACAAGCTGGGAGACGGCGGCTACATATCTGGCGAAGGAGGTCAGAGCGCTTCGGCGAAACGGAAAAAAATGAAGAAAACCCCGAAACATTTGCAGAAAATATACGGACGAGAGGGGCATCAAGACACATATTTTTAATAACGAGGTTAAATTGGTGTGCATAACAATGTAAAAAATGCGCATGAGGAAAATCTTCTTTTATATAAACTTGAACACCATGTTTCGACCCACTCATGACTGACGCGCCGTCATAAGTTTGAGCTATCAATTTTGACTTCGCGTTGTAAGGCTGTAACACTTCTTTCAGTACAGCCGATATCCCGCATGCCGTGCGATCAACGATTGGTACAAAGCTGTGAAATCTCTCGGTAGGTTTACCATCTTTCACAAACCGAAAAATCACAGCCAGTTGGGAAACGCACGTGATGTCAGTTGTCTCGTCAGACTGAATCGAAAGGAACTGGCAATTCTCAATTTCCAGAGCCAAATGTTGTAAATAAATTTTATACATTGAGTCGAGCAAATCATTTTGGATATCCTTAGATGTCCCTTTCGAAACAGTTGCGGCATCAAGATGATCTCTCAATACGGTATCTAGGGATGCGGTGTATTCCGCCATATCCAAAAATACCCCTCTATTAGAAGAGCCAGCCCGTTCATCGTGCCCACGGAGGGACAGCTCGTGACAACCAATTAACTTCAAAACATCTATCAATCGACCGAGAACATGGCGGTTTTTCTCGAAGTTTTGGTTGTGCCGACGAATAGAAACCGCGCGTCCTTCATCCAACTGTGCTGCAATATTAACATTTCCGAATGTTCGGTATTTTACTGCATTGTCCAGATGCTCCATAGAAGATTGATGGTCCCTGGCACGCTCGGAAAGATGTTTAAGATCTCTAAAACCAAATTTACACCAACGTGAGTCACGGGCGGTAGCAAAAAGTAGGCAATAAAAACAAAAAAGTGCATTTTTGTCCTCGCTGTAACACAACCATTCGTGTTTTTTATACCAAGGTTCTGCGCAGAATGTACGCGACGCTTTCCTCCGTCATGGGATTGTTCCTGTGAACAATTTTTTGGTTGATAAGGCCCAAGACGTACCTCTAATTTTTGTTCCAGCGGCAGCTGCGAAAACGGAGTGCGAAGTAGTGCATCAACCTTATTCATTATGAGGTCTAAGGCTAAGAAATGCGAAGCCGGAAAGAAGTGAGGAGCTCAAAAGAAATGTGGAAAATCGAAAGCAAATGGACTAAAGGTCTCTAACTGATTCAAATAGCGAAACATTGGCACAAGGCATTGCCCCGGTTGGCCCTATTGACGCGCCGCCACTGGACTCCTAAATATGCCTTATCCAACTGGAGATCCAGAGTCAAGACCTTAGTCGCGTTTATATAAAGATCCTAACCTAAACCATAAAGGCACAAGTAAGCTTTACTTACTGCTGCAACTTACAATGGGCCGGAATCGCTTCTCTTGTGTTCTTCCTTAGCTTGGTAAGTTGAGAGAGCCTTCAAATGATTAATGAAATTGTGCATGAATCAACAAAATTCAACAGTCGATGGTCTAGTTGACACGCATCATCCAACTGAGCAAAGTTTAGCCAATTTTTCCAACTAGTAAAAGCTAGGCTAGCCTTACTCGTGGCCACAGTTATGAAGTTGAGACGTTGAGCCCCTGAGACGTTGAGTTTTGTGAAGCTGATGACTTTATGTAAATGTTTAATCTATGGCTGCAAAATGATATACCATGAGATTTTTTCCGCCGGTAGTGGGAAAGCCTACAAAAAAGACATCTCTTCCATATGGCGTTCGCTTAGGGCTAAATTGATCGCCATGTCAATCACGCCATCGTAAAGTTGTCGCCCAGCTAACGACCGTTGAATATCGTGTCTCCGTCGGCCTAAAGCTGACTAATATTTTGCGGGTGGTGGCATTTTCGTTAACCGTTAATTTCGTTAATTTATTGATTCATTTACCCAACATTTAAAATAAAAAAAACAAAAAAATATATCAAATCATATTTTAGGTATGTTCAACACAATTCTGTTAGTTTTCGCGGCGCATTTGGTAACTCGCTGCATTACATCATTTTTCTTTATTAATTTCATTTTTGGTGTTCCGCGAGGCGACATAAAAAGTGCAAGTGTTCCGTGGCGAAAAAAATTTGGGAAACGCTGGCTTAGGTTAGGGGTGGCGGGGGAAAGCCGCCAGCAATCCTTTGGTACTAAATTATCCCCTACGGTATTTGAACTTGCGAAACCAAGCGTGGTAAGAAATCAAGCGTATTCCTAAGTCTTAGCACGATGCGCCACTCAATGCGAACGTAGTCAGCTGCAGTGCACTGGCTGACATAGATACTGTACGTGTAAAACCTTACCCTGAATCAGGGGTGGGCAACTTCTTCAGTCGGCGAGCCAGATGTGAGAAAATGAAGTCCTCGGTGGGACGGAATATTATAAAAAATACTTCGGTATCCAATCTTTGTTAAATGCTCGACACCCTTTGTCAACTCTACGTTTCTTGGGATATTCCATGGTTAATAAAGTGCTTCATACGGACATAGGGTCTCCGCGATCTATTCGTTTACTCAAAATGGCATTAATAACATTTAAGAAGTAGCAAATACATCCGAGTTATTAAATATAGTAATTTCAATTCACTCATAATATTGATCGGTAAGTAATAATTCGTTTTTGTTACGTTCTTATTGTGGGGCTACGTCAATTACAGTCCACCTCTTCACGAGCTCCATAACACCAAATATTTGAATGGTCTCGAATAGATAATCTATGTATTATCAGTTGTTGTCGTCGGTATGCTCTTGTATTGAGCAGTCAATTATTTACTTCACATAGAACCGTGATTAATGCTGTTGCTGATGTTATGTCTCCGCCGTTTGGTTTGGGCAAAGAAATTACTATACAGTAAACATCGGAACAACGTCACATTATGACCTCCCTTTAAACGACATCGCCGTCCGCTGGCACGTTATTGTATCAAAACTTGAAACTTTCTTGGCTGCGCAAGTCAAGGAGCTAAGATTTTGTACACCAATGCAGAGAATGCATTGATATAACGCTAAACTTATACACGCCGTTATTCTTTTATTGAGTTGTGAGAGGGTTGCATTTTTGATGGCACTCCCGTGCGCGTTTACTCTACAAATATAAACAGACAAATATAATGAAATTGCTGGATTATTTGTACTAAGCTCCCGTCACTGATGCGAAAATGTGTGATCTGAGATAAACACTCCTGTCATGTTTTAAAATAAAGAATAAGTAATTATGCAGTTAGGGTTTTGGGTTAGGAACGATTTGAAAATTTGAATTCCCGGCTGAATCTTCATCCCTCACCTTAACTGAATATTTACTATTTCTATTTAATTCGAGCGTTGGCGGGTGTAGTTTTGGGGGTGGGGCTTGGTACGAAAGATCCTGAGAATATTACTGTGAACTAGGTATTATACGATGTATGAAGCAAATCCCAACCGTCGTTTGCATTCTGCATCTTTGAGATCACGCGTCATGCGCGTGATCGGCTCGTAACGACAACCTGGATTAATTAAAGTAATCAGTTGAAAACAATTGATTGAAAACAATCAGTTAGCTTTTTTCGTCAAATATTTTTGCGCGGGAAGCCACAAGCGACATCGCTTTTAGTCAGTCACAAATGTTCGTGGTAAGATGAGGTTTGATTTTGTGTAGGATGTATGCGGATAGGCTGACTGTGGGTTATGCCAATGAGCTCGAAACAATATTCAGGTGGGATAAATGTTCTTTATACCTATTGTTTTCATTGCTATTATCTTGCTTTCATTGTACTATTGTATGAGTGGTAAATTAGAGGTTTTCGGGCCTATACGAATTGGAATTATTAACCAAATACAGAAATCTAGATTGATGGATGATTCTCTTTTGTATCGAACTCACTAACAGCGGGTTCCATCGTTTCCTCACAAATAGGCCAAACTTAAAAGCTATATGGCAATACATAAACTTATCAAAATAAGAAACTTAAACGTTATACACTTATCTACGTAACTATGTAAGCTGCATTCGACATGGTACGCTTTACATGAATGTAATGTATACCTTTCAAAACTTTCGCAAATGTAGCGCTAGAGATTCGCCGTAGCCTTTTTACTTAGATATATTGTTGTGTATAGATTGGATCTTTGTACTAAGACCCTACCAACGTTCAAAATAGGAGAATTAGTAATTATTCAGTTTAAGTTAGCAATGCAGATTGCGCTGGAACTTCAATTTTTAAATCATTCCCCAAATGAATAATTACTAATATGTCATTTTTGAACGTGGCGGGAGCTTTGTGCAAAAGATCCAATAGATTCAGTCCCACTGTCCATTGAATATGCTAGCTACAGTTCTGCGATAGTTTATTTATCAATATTTTAACTTTTTTGCAGGTGCAGAAATATTAAAGGTTAAAGATTCAAAGACACAAAGTAACGAACGGGGAATATTACGAGTAAATATTATTTAAACATTTTATTTGACTTTGTACGCCTATTGATTCCTGTATACCACTGTTTCTGTTTAAAATGCCAAACAATTCGATGCGAGCGCACCGCGTCTCGGGTCTTGCGATCAGAGTCAGTATTGTTATTCCACTTATTTGATTGTGTGTTTTCTCTCGAAATTGTAAGATTTAGATTTTGCAACAAGTTTTAATAATTGTGTTTCGAAGCAGAAGTCCAAAAAAGTACTATAAATATAATACCTTGCATCAAATTGGTGTGCTCTTTGCGACCCCCTATTCGTTGCGCGCTTCCCTGCTGGATAGCGATCCCCAGTTTGCGATCCCAACCGTGAACAATGTAATAATGCTACAAGTTACTGATCAGAGGTAATTAGTCATATACTCCATGAAACAGTTATAAAACTACATTGGGTATTTTATTGTTATTTTAATATTTGCAATTTGTGCAGTTTGAAAACTACACCTGATATGTTATAAAATATATATTTGAAATTTAATGGCAATCGCTGAAGAAATTTTATTCGTCCAAATTTTCTAAGTTTTGGATTTTATGAAATTTAATGTCAAAATTTACCCGTTACGTATTTTGTTAAAACTTACGTATATTTTTGAACAAAATATTCAGAAAGGACAAAATGAGGTACAATATGATACACTAACCTATCATTTAACTAACTATCATTTTAACATAAGCATAGCTTTGCAGTGGTCTCTGTCAAATAACATTTGTGTAAATTAACTACCTGAAAATGCCATAGTTGACACAACGAAATTTAGTTTAATTCAAATTTAGAATTGGCTTACACAAAATTGCGACATATATATTGATTTTCAGCGTTTTAAAACAGAACAATTTATCATTGCACCAAAAGAAATTCGTCAAGTGCCAGGTTTTTATCACTGAGGGAGATGGAGGCCTATCAAGTCTAGAGTAGGAATGTAACCAAATCATTTGAAATCTTTCAATTTACATGTCTTTAAATAAATGATATATTGTATTTTTTTCGGGAAATATACAGACAAATTATTACTTGTATAAGCTCAGTTTTGTTTCGTCTGTCAATTAAAATTTTCTATAAATTACAACCTCAAAATTTCATAATAACATGATTCGCACAACTACCGTTTTATTCTGGCTATTGAGTCGGCCCAGTAAATAAGGCGGGGGTCATTTTTTAGAAAGGAAATTAGGCTTTTTTTCGTTTCCATCCAATAGTCGTGACACAATATTGCATTGCATTATACATGTAGTATATAGTATAATGGCCGTTTCTGTCGCACAATATTCAGTCCATGACAACGACAAGAATTTAAAATGTCTTTCTATTTTAATTTAATTGTGTTCGTGGTAACTCGCGACTGCGTCGACTTACGACAAGATGAAAGCATGACTTTTTTTTAAAATGCCACGGCAATCTGCGAACATAATAATGTGAGAATATATTGGCCGATTATATTTAGTTTTGATACATATTTTTTGCGATCTTGCGAATTTGTTATAGCTGTTGGGAAAATCCTACTTTCTGCTATAAAGTTCCAGAAAGTACAACTTGATTTAGCACTTATTAAAAATATATTTAAAGTTTATTAGTAAATCAAAAAGACATATTCATCGCCTTGCTTTACTATTAAGTCAATTGTGATGATTTCAATCTGCAACTGTGCTGACGAAATAAAAGCAATTCTACTCAGAAAATATCAAAGAGGTTAAAGTGCCCGATTATATTTTGTTTTGATACGTATTTTTGTGCATTCGACAAATCTGAGCTGTTCGTACAACACCTACGGCGCTCCAGTACTGTGCGTACCAATGTGGAGACATTAAGGCAAAGTATCCTAAGAAAAAATGCCTTGGTACGTACGTTTACTACGGTAGCGTCCGAAATTTTGCGATTTGTAATATCTAAAAAAGCGTTTTTAATCGGTCGCGGACAATCATAAAACAAAACTAATGTTGTTATCCGTTTTATTTTTAGTATTTTGTATTGCCGCTTTTCAATTTAGAAAATTTGGGTTGCCACCATTGACACCTAACATAAAAAAAAATTATTCCTCGTTGTTCGAACTCGCGAACTCTATCGAAGCGTGTGTTTTCGTCGGAAATCCGCAAGTGAGTTGTGAAATCCAATCGTTTGATTAAGCAACGCGTCGCTGTTACCAAATTTTCGAAGAGTAAATTGCTATTCTAATAGCTGAATATTCGAATATATGCCAAGTTCTACTCATTAACCAGTAATTATTGACTCGAATAATGGTATTTGAATAAACTTGCCTTTTATGTTTTATGTAAATTTTAATGTAAATCGTAACTTGGCTGAAAGTTTCACAAAAACGTTTGCAGCCCGCAGTGAATTTCTGGCTCGTTGCGGACTCATTCAAACGCTCCGCGGACTCATTTGAGACCGCGGACTCACTCGGGTTGGGAAACATTGATCCAAAGTATAAGCATAGCTTCTCTGTCAAATTACATTTTCTGTAACTTATAAACTTAAAACTTAATAATGATATACTGTAGTTAGAACAACTATATTCAATTCAAATCAATATTATACAAAATTTACCTACATTTCATTATGTCATATAAATTTCAGCTTTTTGAAACACTTCTTGAATACGAAAAAGACAATTTATCATTATATCTGAAGACATGCGGAGTTATTTGTCCGATTATGCATCAATTTGAGAGGTGGCTGCTTCGAGTCTAAAGAGCAAGTATGTTATTAAAATCTTTTGAATCTTCCTAATTTACACCCATCACCATTATTTACGGATCCCCACAATAAAATTTGAAATTGTTATCTATTACTATTCCTAAGTAAGTTAAAATTAATTTACCTAATTTAAATGCTAAACATTTTTAATAGGCTTAATACCAGACATAAATAAATATAAATTTCATAGATAAATTAAATATATTAATGCTGTAAAGTCAAAAAACATAATATCAAATTTGGGGTCGAACACCCTTTTGGTGTTAGTGAATACTGAAAAAGTCCTAATAACGTACGCGATGGCATTTTGGTAGAATCGCCGATAGTTTTCGTCAGTGTGTCGTGTTTTTATTAAACAATTTATGTGCTTATTCTCTCCGAATCAAAAATTTTCTTTGGCATATATATGCATGTATTGTTCCATGAGGTCGACGATAACCTTTTTTTTTGTGCTGAATTATGAGCTCAGTGTGCGAAACAAGTTAGAATACTATTTTATAAAAATCGGTGTAGAAAAGCTAAGAATAGATGATAAAGAGGTGGATCCGTAGCCAATTTCTTAATTGAAAAGCGGCATTATAAAATATTGAAACTAAAATCTAAAACGAAAGATTTCCCCATAAGTTTTGTTTTAGCAGTCTCGTAGCAGATTGGAAACGCTTTTTAGGCATTGTAAATTTCTGGTATGTTAGGATTCCTTTAGAATGTGTACAACTATACAATATAGTAACTGAAATCGAAACACAGTAAATTGTTCGCACGATGTACCTTTTGTCTATTTTAAAACTAACGATGGAGCCCAATACGTATTTTTCTCGGAATGTGACGATATATAAGATAATAAATGCAAAATATGTCGATCAATTTTTTTTTGCAATATTTTAAATATAATCTTTCATATTTTGTCCATATCTTTAGAATAATTTTGAGTGCCGAAAAAACAAATCAAATTTGACTAACCTCAAAATACGATTCCGGTCTACTTATAGTTGGCAGTTTGGGACGTATTTTATGTGATTTTCAAATAGTGATTTTTCATTTTTATAATCGTAAAAGTTTTCTCGACTAAAATTCGAGTAACGAAGAACACCATTTAATTACTATGAAATTACCATGACAAGACATTTTAAATGCTTGCACCGGCTATGAATTGAATATTTACCTCGAGAAAAAAACTATTTATCCACTGCGATCCTACTTATAGATTGTCATATTTGAATTTACGCTCGTTGTCATATTTCGACGCTACATATGTCAAATTTTATTAATGATGTTATTACTTATTTTGACAGTCACAAAATTAGCCAAGTCATTATTTTAATAAGTAATCGAATGGCTCGCGGACCCCCTAAGTTTCTCTCACCGAGCACTTTGAGAACCTATGCACTAATAGACCAAGGGAGAAATTTTCGTAAGAGTGTTTGAAGTATCGTTGTACATGTTTAATAGCTGAGATTGAGGCAAAATTTTGTACAATTTTAGCATCTCGTTAAAAATTAGCTGTTTGCATCTCATATTTATATATTCACCCCAGACCATATTAAGATTTTGTGGCAACGCTTCCAAATGGCCAAAAACTTAATATACGCATTATCGCGATAGTTACTTCATGTCCAGGCTTGTCCATGAGAACGTCCCATGGGATGGGATGAGACAACACACATTTGTATTTCCCATGGGACACGTGGGACACGAAATCCGTATGATTTTCGGGAAAATGATGGTAAAAAATTTCATTATGGATTCCGTGTCCATATATTTGAGCATAGCCCTCTTGTTAGTTATAAAGAGCAAAACATATTCAGCATTAACAATATACTCCGTGAAGAGGCTGATGGACACATGTATAATAGTTATGAATATAATGTTAACAAAGTCCGTGAATGTTGTTGGCTTGCATGGCCCTTCTTACATGTAGTCCTATTTATTAGATGCTAAACCTAAATTTAACAATTTTTATTGAATTTTATTCCAATGGGATGGGATGGGACAAGGATAATTGCTAATGAATGGGATGGGAATGGGACAGAAAACATGATTCATAGACAGGCCTGCTTTTGTTTCTATTTATTAGCATGTGTCGCATAGTCATACAATGTTATTTATTTTGTTAAATTCAATTTGAAACAGATTTGTTTTTTCCAATAATGTGAATTACTTGTATATCTATCAATAAATATTATTTGTAATTTTTTCGGGAAACCTGCAGTCATAGTAATATTTTTATTATATTGAGTATAAGTTCAGCTTTGGTTTGTCTGTCAAAAGAAATATTCTATGAAAAATCCCCTAAATACTTTATAATATCACGATTCGCACAACTATCGTTTTTTTTCTGGCTAATAAGCGAATAAGACAAGAATAAATTTTAACAATAAAAAATCGTGTTTTTTGTCATATTACCGCCCAGTATTCGGGTGAAAAATTGCATTAATTTGTTTCAATTTTTGTCAGATTTTTGTCATTCCTGAGAAGGAACTTTTTCCCTTGTGTTTGCAGTAATGATGTTAGTTTAGGCACCAATGCGCCCTCATAATTTTATATGGCAAAGTCTTTCAAACCGGACCCGTGTTCATTTCTTCGTCGGCATGAAATTTAATATTCTACCCCAAATAACTGTAATTTGGCATTAAAAAGGTATCAGCAATTATTCACTGGGGCAATGCTTTTCAAAGGGTGGGCGCGTCCTGCAAAATGGGCGTAGACAATTATTGAGGGGGCATAGCTAATTAAATCTTCAAAATAGATGGGATTGATATTGTATAGCAAATGATACCAAAACAAATATTTTTTACGAGTTTATCAAGTCAAATTAATGGCTATTCAACGACAATATCCCACATGTAATATTTTTCTTACCTTGTAAATTGCTCTTACAACTTTAATAATTCTGAATTAATAATAGTGAATGATGCATCATTATTTACCTACAATGAAAATCTTGCTATGTAAATAAATTTTCTAATGTTGTTGCTCTGCAGATGAATTTCACATTCTGAATAAAGCATAAAGCCCAAAAGAATTCTTTTGAAAATCCATAACTAATTGGATGATTTTTTTTAAAGCTCCCCAATAATTGACAAAACAAATGGTGCTGTTTTGTTTTGTTCATGTAATACATCGCTCATGTAATTTTGATCAATTTCGTTTTGTCTGTATGTAAACCGCAATGATACAAATATTGAACAAGATATTGAAATGTCCACAATAGTTTTTTGATTACC